TTTGGTAAGCACGTAGAATATAATCATCATTTATGGTCAGTCGACTGAAGCCAGTAATAATCGTAAAGTCGTAATTAGCATTTCAAGGAAGATCTGAACCTCTTCGTAATCGAAAGCTCAAAATAATTACAAAAAATGTCGCGGAAGGCAATTATTCTTAGTGCACAAAAAATGGTACATTTACCATTGCACCTGACAATTCCACTTTAATTTATTAGTTACTGACGGGCATGTCCGCATGTTTCGCATGAACGGGCTTCCTTTGCATGTAAAACTTAAATTTACCTAGTGCGCCCGTTTTCCACTTTTTCGGAATTTTCCACTTTGCTAAAAAAGCTAGTATTTGTATAAAACTTTATATTCCTTCATAAATCACAATATGCCTTATTGTGAAGAACAACCATTAGTTTATTGCTGTAAGACTTTGGGGGCCGCAGCTTGGGCTGCGTTTGAGTAACAGGGAGTTACTCGTAAAAATCCTTGGGTTTCACGAGTTAGGTAACCTACTGTACATTGCGCCAGACATCTGTGGGTGGTATGATGTGGTCCGGGAAGATAACAGACAATAACACGTATAGCACTGTCATTGCATTTAAAGGTACTTTCTTTTCCTTACTGCCATCCTGATCTATGCTTTCTTCTTCGTGTGGTCATCCTACGGAGAACTGTCGATGTTAGTGAATTGCATATACGGCAGAGTGGACGTATCTGATACGCATTGCTATTATGGAATGTTGTAGGTAAAATAACTTGTTTTCGTGCATTTAAAAAGGTAACAGTGTACTGTAGATATGACCCCATGATTATAAATGCAGACAAACAAAGCAGAGAAATAGAGAGGATGGTATACAATAATAAATTCCCACGTGAATGGCGAGCAAAAAAGTGGGCGGCTCAAATTCGAAAGCCGTGATATTTCAAACACAAGGTATCTCAGTGAGAACTGAGTCGGACGAATTTGTCAATGAAGTAGACGTACTGTCGTCCAGACACAGAATTGAGA